GCTCATTGCCCTTATCTCTTTATATTAGTTATTTAATACATATTGAGCCTTATCACAAACATTTTAAACTTTTTTTAATTTTTAGGACGGTTTAATTATACATTAATTAGGATAATGGATACGTATAACTCTTTACTTTTTTATACATATTATATTTTGAATTATAATGTATTCTTAAAAACTGTCATGACTCATTAAAACACTACAACCTTAGCATAGAATTGTGTAAGTTTATTGCTTATCAGAGTTGTGACATTATTTCATAAAGCAATACGTTAATAAATGTATAGTTTTTTCACAACATTATTATAGTTGATTTTTTGAAAGTCGATTTCCTTTTATTATTTCAAAAGTGCTAATTTTGCTTATATCATTTTTCTATCAACATGCCGATATATTCAATGTAAAATTTCGATAATTTTATATAGTCGCAGTTATAATCAAGCAAGATTGTATTCGAAATGTTGTTTCATAAAATTACTTTTTTATATAAATCCTCAAATCAATTATTTAGTGTTTTATCCAAATACTATCATAAAGTTCCTTAATACCGCTGCGACATATTTCTTAACTGTGAACTTGAAAGCAAACTACTCTTTCAAGTAAGCGCCAGCATGACGAAGGTATTATAGTTAGCGCATGTCTTTTGATTAGGTGATTTCCCTTTGACTGTTTTTTTTCTCTTCCCAAGTAGTTTTTGTCTCATGCCGAGATAGTAGCCGTTTTTTTGCGTCGGCCAATTTTCGGGTGTGCAAACACGGCCCATTGTCGTGGCGCACGCGCCCTTGCCGTCCTTCGTCTCGTTCCATCGTCGCAGGGGTAGCTTGGCTCAGAACGCACCCTTTTTTTCGCCCTATTCAACCGTCTCGCTCGCTCTCTATGTTTCATCCTTTGCCTCTCCTCGTTGATTTTACGAACGGGATTTAAATATGCAAAGCGACTTTTTTTCAACGCTGCGTCCGCTTCTTCCCTTGTTTGGTCCGCCGCGCCCACATAATTACCGGGTGGCGGGAAAATAACGGACAAAAAACCGCGCGCGAGGAGCAAGCAAGCGAGACGCGGTGATGAGTTGAAAAAAAAAGGATAAGAAAAAAGCCGAGCGAAAAAAAGCCGATATCACAATTAGACCGGCCGCACAGGGGGAAGCTGCGTAATGTCCCGCACAGCGGACAAAAAGGGGTGGCACGATTTAACCGCGTGAGGGGTGCTTGCCAGAACTGTAAACTCTGACATTATGCTCGCCCGCTGAGTAGATTTTTTTTCGTAGCAAATCACAAATTGACACACTTGCGTTTTGTTATGGAAAGCTTGTTAAACTCAGAGATGCGCTAAGATATTCCATTCGCCATTTTTTTTTCATGCAGAGTAAAACATATTTTGCTTGATTTGTTTTATGAAATAAATAAATACTCGATTACACACACAATATATAATTTTTATACAAATGACATATTTCTGTCTTTATAACAAGAGACAATTTGCTAGTAATTGGAAAAAGTTTTTAATAATTCCATTCTAAAATAAATAATATGAGGAATATACGATGAAGTATAGAATAAAGGAAATTTTAAATGAATAATATGTGATAAGATATGAGAGAGAACACACATCCATATAAATTTATTTTATAATTATAAACTTGTACATATATGTATATGTACATTACAATGTAAAAATTATATTATTTTATTCGCCTATATGAGGTTATAAAATATTATAATCGTTCTATTTATTTAATTTTTATTTGTTAATATGATTTTATATGAAGACGTATAAATTTATGTATAAAATCATGTGTTTGTAATATTATATTGCAAGAACTTTAATAGAATTTTATGTAATATTTATGAGATTAGACAGTTATATTCACCTGTAAAATTTGTTATTTTTCGTACCAACGATTCAATTGCTTCCATTCGTTCCTCAGAATCGTCGGTTTCTTTCCTTTAAATTGTCGCTATTAAAAATAAATCGCGATATGTATCACTGGGATTTTCAAGTGGCCGATCTGAGAGGAATGCTGCGTGCGAAGAATTAATGTACAAGGTGTGTCGCGCGGATTAGTCTCATTATTATTCCCCTGAGCGAAGCGACGTCGCGCCTCAGGGTGGTAAAAAAGAAAAGAAAAAACGTCTCGGAAGATTAACGAGCAAGCAGCCCTTATGAACCATCTCGACGCCTCGAAAACCGCGAGAGGAACAAGATACAGAAAGAGATAGGGTAATGAAGGAGGGTAGTAAGAGAAAGAAAAGATGGATTACGAGGAGGAACTAGATATCGCAATTAAACAGTCCGCCAACCTTACAAATTGGAGGTTGAATTTTTTTTCTACCTTAGGATCACTGTTAGGCGTTGCTGCAGCCCTTAAAACATCGCAAACGTAGAGGGGTGCGGAGAGAGCGGTCCCGTGGTACAGAAAAAAAATCCATAGGGGTTCCTCTGCATTCATCTCTCTTGCACCGCAGCATCCAGTCTGAAAAAAAAAGAGGGTGAAACCAAAGAGAGTTGTGCGTGGCGTCAGGGGATGAACGGAGGGGAAACTTATAAGGGTGGTGCTGATGGTGGTGGCGGTCGTGCTAAAGGCAAAACAAAAGCTGGGCGACATTCTCGGACGCCTTCGGAAACATGGCCGCTTGAGAGAGAACGCAGAAAGAAATCGCGATTGTCAAATTATCGCTGAATGAGATCGATGATTTTTTTAAAATAAATACATCAAACGATGAAAACTACTTGTGGGAATAGAACAGATTGTTTAGATTTTGTTTATAATTATTAGAGTAAAAGCAGGGAATATAAAGATATTTTATTATAAAATATTATATATAATATACAAATTATTATAAAAAAAATAAAAAATAATTTAAAATTTTTTGTGAAATATATAACAATCTAAATGATGCTTAAAAATATTTTATTATTGATAGTTTCGAAAATACGTTGTAATTATTTCAACAACCTTTTCTTTTAGACTATTGCAGTAATGTTTTAATTTTTCATTGTAGAGAAAAATATGTATAATTAAGATCGAATACAAAAAAATTCACATGCCTTCGATACAAATTTATTTATTGCAAAAAATTTATGTTTCAATATTAAAAATATGCTATTTGTATGAGAGAGTTAATCATAATAAATATTATTAAATTTTGTGAAAATGAACATCTAGTCAAATACAAGCTACAGTATTCGCATGAATAATCAGTCTAAAAATATCATTTGTCAAGATATTTTTCCAAAGATTAGAAACTCTTTTAATCAAACTTTTTGCGGGCCGATAATTAAAAATTTATCTTCGCAGCGGCCTGCATTTATAATGGCAAAAAATCCATAGAGAGCGACCGCGCCCATCATATATAATAGATGGTCTCCCCTTCTCGGTCAACCTTCTCATCTCATTTCGCTGGTTCGACCAACCTCCACCTTCCGCTTCTATCCCTCCAGGCTCCCCTGAGCACCACCCACAGACTCCAACCCGCTTTCAATCAATATTTAAAGAATTGCGCCTTAATAACCGTCGTGGCGTCATGTAATGGCGGGCTTCAGCTCTGATGCGTCACCTTTTATAAGGATCACGAATTTTTCTGTCCGTTCCTTTCTAAACCTTTGGTCTCTTAAATTATCGACTGATGGTACATCAATATATGATAATATTAATTGTTGATAATACTTCTATTGTTATATTTTTATTAATTGTTGATATATCTTGTCAGTTATTGATAAGATAGATTTCACATAAAAATATTGTACATTTTTCTCATCATTGTTAAAGTATAGATAATAAAATAAATGTTCTATATGGAATCCGTTTATAACTATCTCAAATTATGTAATTTTTTAGATGCGCATGTCTCGTTTTGGAAAAATGTGAAAAAACTATTTTATAATGTCTATAAAAATATTTTATCATAATAACATTAAGGTAGTAAACGATAAAATGATTCATCAAAGTAATACAAAATTACTGAAATAATTTCAAGCTTTATGAGTTTCAGGGGATTTTAATTTAATTCAAGTACAATTTGCGCACGTGCGTGCGTGTAATACGTGCGATAATATAATATTTCTCGTGTTAATTGACATTGTGTGAGTAACGTTACAAAATGAAGCATACAACGAACGGTACGTAAAAATAACTGAATACTGTTTTTCATTTTTGTTCTTTTCCCTTAAAAATTACCAAGGCAATAAGTCAGGACACTTGTTGCTGAAGTGCCAATGTAACAGTAATATTTGCGGATGTCGATAATATGTTGTAACAATCTGTATATACAGTATTTGAGTATCTGAGGTTCGCTACTAATAAACATTTCACGATAAATTCTTACGTAAACGTGTGATCTCCGGTTACGTGTACTTTCACACAAGGTTCCACATTATGGTCGGCAAGCAGTCTTCAAGGTATTAATCTCTAAAACGCGCAAGAAGATGTTTTGTGCTAAAGTCAGCTCGAAAATTCCTTAAGTTCATTTCCGATATTTACGTCACTTGTATATATAAAAACGGTCTTAAATGTGTTTATCACAAATTTTTTTAGTATGAAAAATTTGAAATATCTGATAATCCGATATCTATTCACAAATTTCATAAAATTTTTAAAAGCCATATAGAAAACTGATCAAAAACTGGTCAAGTAAGAGACATATTCTCGAATTTTATAAGAAATTACCTGAAGATTATAATTTAATTAAAAACATTAAAAAAAACCGTGACAAAATTCTTGATATAACAAAACTTAAAATGATTAATAAAAAAAGTTGCATCAATGTTAAAGAGACAAAATATCATAATGTTGTGCGATGACTAATTGCATTTGCACATAGGCGGAAATGCTTTTGCGTCAATATATAAACAATGACGTAACCGTTGAAATATATCGCGGTTATATGTGAGTTCGCTATAGTTATCATAAATAGAACTTTTGTAACATCGCTCATTATGAGAATATTAATAATAATAATACGATAATATAATAATAATAAATCACATCTTTGATGTTCTCGTAGCTTTATACTATACACTAAAAGCATCTTTGGTTTCCTTATTATAATTTCGATCGCGTGTATACGAAAAGATTACAAAATGACTTTAGATTTCAATTCATCCAAAAAAATCACGTACAAATATAATATTTAATACTTTTCAAATATTGGTACACCGGTAAAATTATCGATTATACTCGGTGATTCGGCAATATTCGACTCTGCAGTTCACAGTTTCACAATCCACCCTCTCGCCCGCCATTCAACAAAGAAAACAAGAGCTAAAAATCTCCATAATATCCATAACGTGATTAAAGCTCTCTTCGTAACACTTCCGTAATCCACGTTATCTTAAATACACTATGATATGCTCTAATTAACTTTTTATCCCATTCGGCCGGAAATCATGTCAGTAGATGATTTTGGTTGGAACACTGTACCAAGGGAAAACATTACTACGGGGAACAATCTGTTATCATAAAAATCTATTGTAGCTTCTATCTAACTTTCTTTGTCGTTGGAAGATTCTGCAAACTGAGGTCCTGAGGGATTCGCTATTGGAAAATATTAATGTCAACGAATGTAATCAAAATGATGAATAAAGCGTGGAAGTTTTGCCGAAATTCGACAATGCCTCGGCAATAGTTGCTTCGCAACGTTTAATAGCAATATCAGCAATAATTTTTTTAGAATAGAAAAAAATAATAATCGCAATATGTGTACTCCTCAGAAAACAGTAAGAAAATAAAAGAAACGCGCAATAATCGTTCTGTCAAAATCAATCGTTACGCTGTCGTGTGACTTAATAATTGTTGTTCGAAGACTTCAACTGTCTCGGCAGTTTTCGGGCAGCTTTCGACATAGAGCTATATCGAGGACACGCGTGTGGTCCACTGTTTGCCAGACGCATGCAAGAAAGAAGCCTGACGCAGGCTGCACTTTAAGCGCGGACCTATAACAAAGACGGTCCTTCGAAATGATACCGCTCGAAAAGTATCTGTAAGGAAGTGCGGTCGGCAGTCTCAGCTTCTGATACAGCAACCACGTTGCTTCGGTAATCATGCGGCGAGCAAATTCTTTATATTCTTCGGCGTGTTCTCCTCGTTCAAGTGTTTCGTGGTATAGCGGAGGGCATTCAGAAGACCCTCGCTTTTACAAGGCGGCTGGTCCTTTAATAGTTTCACACAGCCTTTGACCTGTTAAATTTAGACCATATAAGATCGAAGGAATATAAAGGCGATAGGAGATTCTTTCTGCAGTTTTTTTTTACAATAAATATTTACAAAACTCGACAATATTCCTCTAGTAAAGAAATTTTCTTAATATACAATATATACATATATTTAAAAAACAAAATTAGAATTGTTAATGTTAGTTAAAAAAAATCTCGTTCCTAAAATGGTAGTAGAAAATTTTTTTATACTCACATCCACGTTCGAACCCTTTACAAAGGCACCTTGGGGATGTACATGATCATAGAGAATCACCAAACCTACCATAACCCTCAAGACGAAGAGCTGAGTCTCTTCTCGTTGGAATTGCGCCAACAAATTCCTGGTAGAAGATATTTCCTAAATTAGCATCGCGAAGAAATTCCTACTCTCTTAAGACAAGTCTCTTCTTTTTACATACTGATGGAAATAGATAGATACTTACGGATTTTCCAACATTCGAAGACACACTTTTGCCATGGTACCAAGTGTTTCTGTAATGTTTTCCCTGGCTATGTCTTCGTTCTAAAAATAAAAAAAAACAGCTTTGTGAGTATAATAAACATACAATATTGTTGGAAACGGCAACTTTGTTATCCTGAATTTACAAATATTTTCAATATAAATTTTTTTATATTTTTTGAAAAGTTTGTCTTTAAAAGGCATTCTGTAATCATGAAATGCATATTTGCACAAATTGAAGGTAGTACTCAAATATTAAATTATTGCTTCGTTATCGATTATTGTTTCATTATCGATTTTAATTAAAAACCTGCATGTTATATCAGGCTCGCGAATATATCCGTACCACGTTTATTTGTCTGACGATGTAGTCTATATAGAGCTCGGGTAATTTAAATCGCAGGCTAGAGTACCTGTCAATTTTCCAGTTCAGCAGAGCCATTATTCTCGTCGACATTTTTCTTCTCTGTCTTGTCATTATATCGCATGTCGATCATGTAACGCGGTTATTTGTCATCGCAATCAATACGAATGAAAGTCTACGATTAATTGCAATATTGTTGAGAAATGTGTCAGGATAATTAATAAAAAAGTCTCGAAAACATTTCAAATAGATGTAAGATTAAAAATGTTGACGTTAATCTTTATATTTACTCTTCCCTTTTATCACATAGAAGATAAAATTGTATTGTTTATCAGAATCAATCTTATACATATATATAAAGCTTATTATTTTTATACATAATTAATATAAATTCATTAAAAAAGTTATTAACAAATAATAAATTTGCTATTTTATAAGATACATTGATCGATCAAAAATTATTATATCTGAATTTATAATTGCAATGAAACACATAACGTTACGAAAACAGAATTATAGAAACTAGATTTACTTCGGAATTGATCGGAATGATTAAGGGACAAACCGAGAAACCGCCTGGATACCGCAGAATTTCGTCTAATTGCCATCAGTTAGCATCTGGTCGGATCAATAATTGTCTGGATAACAATGGGAGGTTGCGCGAACGGGAACAATGTAGAGAGGCAATACCACTTACGTCCATCAAGAAAGTAATGGTCGCGTGACTCAGAACTCGAAGCATGGGTGTCGCGTGGGCGTAAAACAAGGACATTCGGTTAGCGAGTTCATTCCCAACAACTAGGTCCTTTTCGGCGTTGTCCTGGCACGTCAGCGATGCCCTTGTCAATGTTCTACGATAGTAGCTGAAATCATTTTGAATCGCTGGCGTTTTCATTTTATACTCGTCGAACTTCAGCACAAATTCCAATATCTCTGCCAATTGTTTCACTAGTGCCTGCTGCGTCTCCAGATGTTGCGTCGGTGAAAGATTTCCCGAGCATAATTGTCCCAGAATTTTCGGTACAATCCTTTCTACGTAAATAAATTAATAAAAATTATTATCGAACTTAATATTAAAATTTATTTATGAAATAGAAATGTTGTTTGCGCGCAATAATTTTAAATAAACTACATGTAATAAATCAATAGCAATACATGTATTATGGAGATTATTACATAACATTATGTAGTCTAAAAGCAAGTAATACAGAAATTAATAGCATATAATAGCGTCGGAAATTGATAGTCATAAAAAACAAATTAATGACTATCAATAATTTTTTTATACATTCTCTCTTTTTTTTCTCATATTAACCCTTATGTTACTACCCAAGTACCCGGGTGCCCACTTGGCACTTTGCATTGAAATAATTTTCGGTAAATTAAAAAAATTGTTTTATCTGGTCAGATCCCCATTATTTGAACGATTTTGAAGAGATTGGTTTAAAGATTTTTTTATCTTCAAAAAACAATTATCACACGCGTCCAAACTCAAATGTTATACTTCTCTGGTTACTACCCAGGATATCCACATTTTCAATTGGAAACATTAAATGTAAATTATAAATTAGTAGACTGTTAATTTATTAGAAGTACATTTTATTAAGAATAAATATTTAATACATAAAACATAAACAAATGTTATTAATAAAAAAATATATTTAATTCTAAGACAATTTTCCTTCCAGTCAAGTCTCGTCGAGGTGGTGTATCTGCTGATGCTGTATTTGAGGTGGAAGCAACGTTGGTGATTGATTTATTTAGTATGCTTTCAATAGCCAATCTTGACGATAGATTTCAGATAACTTGTTGATTTGTAGCTCGATTCTCAATTACTGGAAGGCACAGTTCTTCTCCCAATTGTCTTAGGAAAACTCGTCGGCGGTCAGTTTTAAATTCGAGCATGTGTTGTGCTCAAAATATATCATATATGCAGCTAAAACTGCAATATCTATAATATTATTTAAAAAATGCCAAAGGCCATCTATTTATTCGTCTTTTAACGCTATACTTACAGATTTTATCCATAACATTTTATCCATAACACCGACACCAGATTTCGTCCTATTATAAAAATTAATTATTTCAGGTTTTCTTTTAGCTTCAGATGTAGCATTTTCATGCATAGAAGATAATAACATGACAGCTTTGTTCTTCTTAGGTACATAAGAACACATCATCGAAACGGAGAAATCTCAAAATATTGCAAAATCTATTCATCCTCATTGTTGCACAATATAGCGGATACGAGGTATTCTTGAACAATTCGAAAACATTATCCGATGTAGAATTATTGACGCTGCATGTAATCAAAATACCGATGAATGCATAAAATTCCGAAACAGTTAAATCTTTCCATTTGAGTGGAGTTTTCGTAGGATTGTTTTCATTGAAATTTTGATAAACAGCTGTTGCTTTTTTGTTAGTATGACGAACTATTATATCAGCTATTTCAGAACTTAAAAAACATTTGAAAGTATTGCAAATGGATGAAGTTGATCTGTGCGCACCACTCCGTTGGCTAACAATATTGTGTGCTTGATAAACCAATGGTGGAGTTTTGCTCCACTGAATCCCATCTTTAGCCTGATAGTGATCTGAAGACGTAGATGGCTGATTTTCGTTCTCTTCTTCGTCGTCTTCTTCTTCATCATCTTCATGAACGCACTCTTCTGCTTCATCTTGAACGTTCATTATTTCATCATCGTCGAATTCATTATCCGAAAATTCGTCATTCATTGGTTGTTCTGACATCCAATCTTATCTTTATCCTTACTATCAGAATATGATAGATCATTTTCTCCCAAATCGTCTTCGTTCAAATATTGCCGTAGATAAGCTTCTTTTTCAGCAGTATTCAATCTGTAAAAATGATTTTTTTTAATTGTTTCTGGAAGATTTTATATATTATATATATATATTTTTATATAATATATATATATATATATTAAACCTACTCTCTAAAAGTCAGTGTATTATCATTAACTTCAGTGCTATACTTATAAGTGTAATATTAGCGAATATTTACTGTGTTTAAGAATAATAATTTAATTACCTTTCAAATTCTCTGATCTAGACAATTCTTCCATATTTAACGAAAAGTTTGTCTTCTATACATACAAAAATATTCACCTTCAGAATATAAACACTGCACGATGCTTGTTCACTGCACTACTAACATAGAACCATACCACTGACATGGTAAATGAATAAAGGAAGTGAGCACCCTATGCCAAACGATTGCCAAGAGGGGGTGCGGGGTAAGTAGAGAAAAGGGACAAAGGACCCTGAAAAGTCCCAGGCCGGCATGAATAGCATTTTAGATCGGGATACCTCGGGGTAGTAACCAGTGTGAGTAATTTTGGGTAGTAACATAAGGGCATTAATTTTACTAGAATAATTAATATGAAACACCAAAATATAAAAATGCAGAAGCCTAAACATATTGCACTTTTGATTAATCTACTCTACGCGTTTTTATTAAAAAAAATTTATTAAAATATAAATATACCGAATGCGAAGACCGGTTCTGTTCTAAAATACTGTTTTCCACATTTTGTATTTCCGATAACCACCAGTACCTAGCATAACTAACTTACACCACAAATATGGCTAAAAACATTCCACAGGTACAGAAAGTAGTTTTTCCAATATTCGATATCGAGTTTCCAAGGAGTGAAGTAGAATATTGCTATTTATAAAAAAGATTATCGTTAATATGATTAATCAAGCGTACCGAGTTCCAAGGAAAACTCGTAGAATCGTTTGAGTTTCGCTACAAGAGGTGCCACGGTTAGGTATGCTTTTCGTTGACATTCCTCCGTGGGTGCTGAGATCGCTTCTCTGATTTCTTTCCCGGCTCCTTTATAACATTGTATCTCCTCTAAAATGGACTCTGAATTTTTCAGCACTCTTTGCACAGCCTCGAACGTTTCACGTTCGATGTCCGACGGTTGTGCATCTGTCGAACAGACAAATAGGACAGATCGATAATTATTAAACAATATGTATGTCTCTTTGCTATACAAAAGCTTTTGTTACATCTCGATATATTATGGAAGATACATATATTCATTTCTTTATCGTGTAGAATTGTTTTTGCTGTGATCAAAGCAGCTTTGATAAAAGTATAAAGCATTCCCACAAAGGAATGTAAATATCCTATATTTAACAAAAAAATAAATTAAAACAATTTTATTTTAAAAAATGTGTGTTTTCATAATAACTTCAATATTTTGTTAGTTTTTCTTTAGATTTTATTATAATTTTTTTTTTTTTTTTAAGAAAATGCAATAAATTGAACATGCTTTATATACTTATGTCCGAGACTACAATTTTTATAATATTTCACTAATGTATATGTGTATTTATAATAGAATCGGATTATATACTCGTATATTACAAAAAATATTAGTTACACAGCAAGTAACGCGAAGAACAGCACTTATTGTTAGAATAAAGATTAAAACTGTCACGAAATATCATATGCGACTCACTTTCAAAATCCAAGAAGACGTCGTACTTCTGAGGTGTGCAACAGGTAGACTCATCTCGAGCCAAAAGACTCAAAAGCTTGCCCATCGTAAGTGTACAGCTTCTTTCGATGAGAGTCACTTTACAACGTGAAAGGCATCTGCAAGTCAAAGCAATTCGGTTGATATGATGCGAGTTTACTTGCGATCGACACAAATCATCATTTAATCATTAATTGTACAAATTCTGATACTCTGGTGCTATATTTTTATTCAAAAATATTGAAAAAAAATTATTATTAGTTATTAGTTTGATCAATTTATAGAGACAATTTATGCCTACAGATCATCAACGTAAGCATAGGCTGCACATTCTCTGATTTTATCTTCAGTGTTTTTTCAGAAATAATTGAACATATTACCATTTTCTTTCAATTCTATCAACATCTCTCTTCAATTTGATACTTGAAAGAAAGAAACAAAGAGAGAGATTATAATTCAAACTGCCTTACTTCTTTCAAACCAATAATACAGTGACAACTTTATAAGAATAAGCAGTTTATTCTCATTACATGTCTTATATCTAGTGATATAAACAAATGCTTATTGTATAAAGTAAACTTCTGAAATATGTTATATGTATGTACAGGGCATTGCAATAATATATTAGACAGTTACGCGATAGACTTTGCGGAGGTAGACACAGTTCAGTATATAATGACGGCGTATACGTATACTGTTATAACTTACTGATCGAGTGGCACACACACACACACACGTGTCTTTATATCAATAAAATTTGCAACGTTCCAATTATGACGGACTTCGATTTGTATTAATGCAACACTCCGTACACATGCAAATATGGAATAATAGACACACTAAATCCTCCATATCATTTTATTAAATCTAACTCTTTCAGAATTTTAATTAAAACTTATCGATAAATTTAAAACCGAATTACAAAAAAAAAAATGCATTAGTAATTTATGCAGTTATTATAATCCCGTTTTAAAAAGCTCGATTCGAAAGATGTTAGAAGCACTGAAATTAAACCCGGAAATTCTTTAGAACATCTCGTATATATCAAAACGAATAATTGTAACGCATTTGTAATTGCTTTTCTTGCAGAAAGAACGAAGACATCTCGCAGGATTATGTCTCACATATACTTGCAGAATATTTGAAAGATAATGTGATTGAGTTTCCGCTTGAAGTTGAAACCGACGCGACGCGACGAGTAGTAACTTGTCACCAGTTCGAGACTACAATGAAATTGAAATTTCAAGCTGCAGTTTGAGCGTATATATTCACTCGGAATATATGTATGTCATGTATATATACATCGAACCGTTAATTCCGGATAGGCGACATACGCGCACGCCTGGACGACTCGGATTAACGCGTATCCGCATCGATAACCGCGGAATAAATGGATTCTGCGAACTCGTCGGCTGGGAGATGAATCCCGCTGATCATTTTCAGTGAAGGGAATCAGCCCTCCCTCACCTGAAGCGTTCGCGAAGGGGTTCCATTTGGCTGTTCGCGCAGAGATGACTCACGTGGGAACGTCGCGATCACGTTTTACGCCGCGCGAACGAGAGAGCAACCGCGTCTGGGAGGACCGAGTTCGCCCTTGTCACTTGCAGCGCGCAAAGAGGACTTGTGATTGGCTTTACAGCTTCTAAAATTGCGAACGGCGAGATTCTATCCCGTTCCGTCGTGCCGGCGGCGTTATTTTCAGCTCGAAAGTACGTTTCGAGCTCGTCATCTTCGGTCGTCGAGTTTCTCGGCTTCTCTCGGAGAAAATGATCGTATATTGCGCAAAGACTGGAATGCTGAAGTTTCCGACTCGTATATGGATATACGATGAAATGGTACAGTAAAAGAATAAAATTTAGTAAATATGTTTATTTAGCAGAGTCCAGACGCATTTATGTAAAATTTAGCAAAAGTATCAATTATAAATAAGAATATTTGTTATTGCTAATAAATGTATTCATTTAAAATTTATATATTTGCTACACATGTAAATGTTAGCCAAGGTATAACACTAAGCACATCTACTAACATTAAAATGGTCATTTAAATTGATGCATTTTATTTGCGCGTACTTTTATTAAATTAAGTGTTAAAATGTATGCTTAATTTTTAAGTTTCATTGCTTGTAAATACATTTACTTGTCAAATTAATACGTGCTTACATAAATACATATATATTTACTAAATTAACATTTTTATTGTAACGTATATAGATGGTAGTTTTCACGATAAAAATGCAATTCGAATTTGATCGACGCAATTCGATCTCAGTAGCTGAACTTGTTTGGAAGAACAGTTATGAAAAAAAGAAAGAACTGGTTTTTCCAGTCAAACTTGATATTTTTTTCATTAAAACTTGCATTTGCTGTTGATATTAAAAGTTAATATTAAGTGTTCGTAAATACGCAAACTTTACGGCTAATAAGAAATTATTTTCTCTGAAAATAATCGCTAAAGTTTTGAAGCAATTCAAAAGCTAAAGTTTAGAAAATATAAATTTCACAACTATCTTTATATCATTCTCTTTAAAAGTGACCTAACTGAAAAAACTAAATTTTTAGAGAAAGGAGAAAACTAGTTTTTAATTGGACAAAAACTATTAATAAATCAAATAATATCGATAAAAAGAACATATACTTATACAATCAAATATCATTTTTATTTTCTTATATATAACTCTTTGAAAACAATCCTTCTGAAACTTGATCTTTTATAAAGTTTTGATAAGACTGGGTAATGTTTATTTGACTTATTTATGGCAAATTCGAAAATTATGTTTGATAAGTTGTGTCACTTTTAAATGCAGCAATATGTACTTTTAAAAGAATCAATAGAATAATGAGCAGTATACAATATTTATATTCTGTGTCTAGTTTTATAAAAAATAGTATTCTTATTAAAATTTTATAAAAAAATAATATATCGCTAGAATAATATCTGATTGTTGAACCGTTAAACTATAATAGTGCATTTCATCAATAACTTGGGACTAAATATCGATGTACAACATAAATAGTCGAGTCGAACTGCAATGTAAAATAAATGTTTGTGTTTGACATTTCTCGGGAGCTCTCCAATGCGGAACGTTTAAAACAAGGACTATCGGTTGCAATATTCGTTTATATGCAGTTATTTGTGAACTTTTTTATTTACGTGTTTTCTTCTTGCAATATATATTTTAATAAATATGAAAAAAAAGCGCTATAAAATTTTAAAATATATTTATGAAAAATCAGTATACAATAATTGAAGAAATAAAGGACTCTTTTTATAAACAATAATAATATTATTGTTCAGTATACAATATTTTTCAGTATTAATTTTGAAAAAGTCATTTAATAGCTAATAACAGAAAGGTTGCACTACTTCCAGAAGTTTCAGAGATATAACTTTAGCCATAACATAAAGCAAAAAATTGACATTCTGTATGTAATGAAAAATAAATTAAAAGCAATTTTATTGAAAAACAGTATTTATTTTTATAACAATTTTATTTTTGTTACATTTCTATTGACTTTTATTACACTGAAAAAAAATTCTAATTGAAAATGGACGAATCAGAATTTTTCTAAATTTATTAAAATTCTAGTTAAGATAACCCGAATTCTGATTGATACAATATTTTGGGTATGTTAAGTTAGCACCCCAACTATAGTACTCAGGAGTTCTGATTAGAGTTCCCACTTCCTTTTGACGAGACGAAGAGTTCCCTATAGTTAATAACAAGAGTTCCGCTCAATAAACATTCTTTTTACATTTTTTAAAAATGGAATGCTAAGTTATTATCGAATTTCGAGGTGAAATAGTTTTGAGCGGCTTAATAGCTTCAATTTGCGATTGCCTAGAGTTCCTGATATGTAAAAAAAATTTTTGAATATTAAAAAAAAAATTAAAAAATTTTGAAAAATTAATTTTTAGATACAATAGTTCTGATGATAATTCCTGCTTATTTTTGACGATACAAAGAGTTCTCTATGATTTTTAATGACATATGCGCTTAATAATCATTTTTTAATAATATTTAGAAATGGGGTGCTAACTTTTTAACAAAATTCAAGATCGCATAGTTCTGATCAGCTTAACAGAACTATTTTGTGAATACCTAGAGTTCTTGATACATAAAAAACATTTTTGAAGAATAATAAAGTTTAAAAGAAATAGTAGAAGTCTTTGAAAATTTTTTTGAGAGTACCGAGTAGTTCTGAGTAGCGTTTCTTATAGTACTCGACGAGTTCTATCGAAAACTGTAAGGTGGAAAAGCGATTGGACCAACGGTTTGCAAGATACAGCGACATTTGTCAGAAGATCAACAATTTTTAAAGTGAGTATATCTCGGAAACCGTTGGTCCAATCGCTTTGAGCCCTGATACTTTTCGACAGAACTCGCCGAGAACTGTCCAGAACTCCAATCAGAACTACTCGGTACTCCCAAAAAATTTTGACTTCAAATTTTTTTCTAAGTCCCACGTCGGAAAATTTTTTGAGAGTACCGTGTAGTTCTGAGTAGCGTTTCTTATAGTTTTCGACGAGTTCTATCGAAAACTGTAAGGTGAAAAAGCGAATGAACCAACGGTCAATTTTCTATTAGAATTATGATTTAATCCAACCAGACTATATTTCTCAGTATACCGTATAGCCAATGACTTCTTTAAAATAATAAATTGAAGTAGGTGTTTTATAATTATGGCTAAAGTTGTATATTAAACTTTTCTTAAATAAACAAAAAACACGATAGAGAAGCGGGAAAGAAATTATTTACGTCAAAAATCATATTTCGTTATTGAAAGAAAACTTGCGTTGCTGTAAAACTTCACAGCCTTGACGCACTACAATTAAAAACACTTATAAATGCACTTGCCGCGTCGTTCACAGGAATTGTTAACGAGTTCCACGACATCTCTGCCTACGCTAATATCCACAATAAGAATGCTTGCGAATCCCAACCTAACGCGACATTCTCATACCATTGCACTATAAAATAACAATCCAATATTTCATCCAAAACGATTTTCCCAGTTTCGATGCCGAAACTACCGTGTATTCGCGAATGAAGAGTAGAGTTCAAAGAACTTCCACGTCAAAAACTTCAAGCGTCGCTCT